CATTATTAGTTAAATGATCTTGAGAACTTTACTCCAGGCTATTGAATTGTGATCACAGTAACAAGTTGAACCTTATTCCCGAATTAGGAGTCAACTACAGGAATTATTTTTTGCCGTTTCTTTAGGTGTATACTTGCTTTACTTGAAGATCTAATACAAAAAATTCTTCTTACCTGCAATAAGCTATGTAATTTTTAGTCTACCTCTTCCTTTTCTAACTTGCTTTACTAAGAAGGCTACACTTGTGGATGTGCAATTTTTTAGGTCTACACGAGTATCCCAACTACCCAAGTCATGTTTCCATAATTTATGCTAAATTGATGCTCTCTTTCCATTTGTTGACATATATCCTCATTTCTTTCTATTCTAACTTGCTCTACTAAGACCACTACACTTGTGAATGTGCGAACGTTTAGGCTACACGGCATATCCCAACTGCTCGAGTCATCTTTCTCACAATTTATGTAAAATTGATGCTCTCTCATCGTTGACATATATCCTCGTTTCTTTTCTTATCCATTATAGTATGGCCACACATCTATCTTAACGTTCTCATTTCTGCTGCTGTTTATATTATGGATATTTTGTCCTTTAATTGTTAAACACTCGGCGCTAGTAACTGTTTGGATAAATAACCTTTTTATGTTATGGGGATCTTCCATGTCACTTTTCTATTTCATCCAACTGCTATACACGCATCATCTTCAAGTCCTCTTTCTTTTTAATGTTAATTATTGAACCTAAATACCTACAATCACTAACACTGTGATCATATATGGTGATATTAAATTCTTCGCAATTGGCCTACTACATTTACCAGTCGTGACTTCTCCATCATACATAATTTTAAATTGATATATCTGACAGAAATTTCATATATCTTGTTTCTTTTCTCCAGGATATTGAATTGTCAAAAGAGATTAATGAATCGTTCAGGCAATCATCCCAAGCAAGGTCAAAACTCCCATCAGGAATCGAGATGAGTGTCCACGTCTTAACAACAGGGTTGGTGGAAACCTTTCGTTACTTTTAAATTGCTCTCAAGCTTACATAATTTTCGTGCATACAAGTTTTCTGAGGAATAAATGTCATATATTTAATTGGCTGCAGATATTGGCCAACATATCCTCCCATGGATGTTAGGCTACCCCATGAACTGAACATGTATCAGGTTTGTCACAAGCTAGAGCATTTTCGCAGCCAAGTTTAATGTCATGCATACAATTTTATAAGATAATCCCATGTTGTTACTGCAATTACTTTTCAGGATATTTTTAAAGAGTTCTATCTAAGCAAGTACAGTGGGAGGCGGTTAATGTGGCAAAACTCATTGGGTCAATGTGTGCTGAAATCTGAATTCTCTAAAGGTAAAAAGGAGCTGGCAGTTTCTCTATTTCAGGTTGGTTATCTTTCAATCATGGTTGCTTTGTCTGTTTCTAAGTCTCTGCTTCTATGTTTAATAAATCCTAGTAATGAATCTAAATGTTTTTACATCTTGGTGCATCTGTCTGTTAAATTGCCCAGGCCGTCGTGTTGATGCTGTTTAATGATGCACAAAAGTTCAGCTTCCAAGATATTAAAGAATCTACTGGCATTGAAGATACAGAGCTGAGGAGGACTTTGCAATCCCTTGCATGTGGAAAATTTCGTATTCTTCAGAAAGTGAGTGGTCATTGTCGCACCAAATTTTATAAAGCCCCTTGAATGATTGCAAATAATTCTCAGTAGCAAGAAAAAACTGTCCTTGCAGATTCCCAAAGGGAGAGACGTGGAGGATAACGACTCCTTTGAGTTCAATGATCAATTCACTGCTCCTCTATATCGTATAAAGGTAACCTGGTTTTTTATTATTATTACTTTCATTTAAATGAATCTCACCATGTAATGTTGGAGCTAAGTTTGCTTGATATATGAGCAGGTAAATGCCATTCAGATGAAGGAAACAGTCGAGGAAAACACAAGCACCACAGAAAAGGTGTTCCAAGACCGTCAATACCAGGTTTATTTAAGACATCCTATCACATTCTCGAAAATTCTATTGCAAAACGTCCGGAATTCCTTTATTTGTTTTTGCAGCAACACTAATTTAGTTTACTGTGCAACTGTTGGTGCAGGTTGATGCTGCTATTGTTCGGATAATGAAGACTAGAAAAGTTCTTAGTCATACACTCTTAATAACTGAGCTCTTTCAACAGGTATAGAAATGAAATCAATTTCTTGTGCCATTATGATATTTTTGCGCTTTATGCAAATTAAAAATGAATATCATCTTACTTTTATGAAACAGCTCAAGTTTCCAATAAAACCGACTGACTTGAAGAAAAGGATTGAGAGCCTCATCGACCGGGAGTATATGGAACGTGACAAAAATAACCCTCAGATATACAACTATCTTGCTTGAACAATCACAATATATTCCCATTTTTCCTTGTATATGCCTTGGGGAAGGAAATCTGTGTACTTACAAAGTGGCTGGCAGTTGTTATTGTGTACAGGAAATGATAGTTGTTATTTTTCCTTTTTGTTGCAACCTTGACTGTAACTGTAAAGTGCATTTATCATTTTAAATTCTATTCCTTACATAGCACAGAAATGAGTGGATGGATTATCTTCTTTTTCTTATAGAACATGAAATGTTTGGGGCAGTGAGTTGGATGGATAGTCATGTTTTATGACATGTTAATGGACTATTGTGGTAATTGGCAAGATTGTGATGCAATGTATGGGGTTATTAAAGTTCGAGCAATGCTTGTTGTACAGAAAAAAATAAAAACTACACCATACTCGATAGAATGACGTTTTGCATTTTGTCATTGGACTGTTTAAAAAAAAAAAAAGTTTTTGCAGCCGATCAATTTTTGCCAACATTGAGTTGAGCTGTACAAGATCGAGAATTCACTTGTCATCCCAGTTTTTGAAAGGCCAAAACACGTAGAAAATACTGACAGTAATATGGTAATGAAGAGTCGATGGCTAAACAGATAATTAATTTTGGAAATGTGTACCTTCTGATGAACTAAAGTTGCACGTTGAGTAAATTTTGGGAGGGGATTTTCTGAATCCCAAAAGTGCTTCTAGAGGGCAAAACCTTTTAGGTACAATTATGGTTGATTAAAGTCAATAATTGACAAAAAAAAAAAAGGAACCTTTTAAGCTGTCTTAGATAAGTTCAAATTTGGAACTTTTTTAAAATCTCTAAATCATCTTTCATTAGAAGTTGAAATTTGCAGTTAAAGTGTGTTTTGATTGACATAAAAAATATGTCATCGAAAATAAAATATTTTCCTTGTTTTGAGGAAAAAAAAAACTTACTTTCCCTAAAGAAAATATTTTCCTTAAAAACAAGAAAAATTAAGCATATTTTTAAAAGTTGAAAAATATTTTATATGAAAAAAATAAAAACAACACACTTCAAAGTAGAAATTTGGATGAAAAACTGACATTTTTCATGAAAAATAAATGCAATCAAACACACCATTAATGTAATTTTTAAGTTTTTAAATGAACTATGTGTGTGGTTGATTGATTGGCTTGCAAAGTTTATAATGTTTCCATTGTTTGCTTTCTCCATAGGAATTGGTAATACTTGGTCTTGGTATGCTTGTTTATGAATACTCTACCTACTATTATTTGTATTTTTAGGCTGCTCCTTTATTGCTTGCTTTCTCGATGGTAATTGGTAATACTTGGTCTTGGTCTTATTTATGTTAAAAAGAAAAAGCAAAAAGAGGTTGAAATGAGATAAGCAAGGGATCGACATATCCACCATTTTTTCTTTTCCTTTCTTACGTTACTCTAATCTCTTTCAAATCGTACTTTCTCAACAAGAATTATGACAAAGAAGATTTTACATTAAGGGGGATCGTCGAATCAGCTTGGAGCAATCAAGCTCAATGAGCACTATTGGGCGGAGCTTCCCAATGCAAATTCATTAATAATGCAATGTGAAAAAGAAGAGAGAGACAAGATACTCAATGCTTATGCAATTTGCTGATTATTCTTAAAAGTAATTTTCACCAGATAAATCGAATGTCCTATAGCAAGAAAGCAAGACCTTCCTAATTTGTGAAATTTAAATAGTCTTTTTATTTATTTATTTTTTTAACATTCTAAGTTGTTTCTAACTTTATTTTAACGTGTGATTAAATAAGGTTCGATGAATTTATAAATAATTCATAAATTTGCCAAATGGATGTTGACAGCATCTTTTAACAGTCAACAAAAACCCCAAGTAAGAGAGATTTTGATGGAAGCTAAATCCACAGCAAAAATCAGACAGCAAAAGGTTTCTCTTTCCAGCGAAGACAGCACTTCTCCATCAACATCAACATCAAAACAATTATATTTTTATAAAATTATATATTAAAAATAGAAATAAGTCTGTCTTGTAACAATTTACATCAGCAGAAAACTATATAATTTAATTAATTTTTTAAAAAATGTAATAACCCCAGATTAGGAAAATAGCTTCTTGTCCAATATATCCAGCACAACTACAGAACTCACAAGTCACAATTGGAAACTGGAAGAATAGTGCTGCACTTGGGGACATAGTTACAATATCTGCTTACAATGGATGCATCAAATGTGGATTCACGCTTTTCAAATTCACGGATCCATTTTGATCAAGACAAAATAAGAAACTACCATGTTGATTTTCATTTTACTCTTACGAATAACGTTTGTTTTCAACAGATGCTGTACAGTTTTCCATCATTTAGCCCCGTCAAATAAGACATGAATGCAAAGATAATCTTGAGAAAGAAATGAATAACAAAATCTTAATTGGTTATAACAGTAATTTGGTAGAGATCAACCACAATCACACGATATAATTTTCATTAGTTTTCACTTCCATTGAAAAGCCTTTTCCAGGCTCTACGATTCTAAATACCAAGCGAAAAATGCTCCACATGCTATCATCTCTCTAATTTATTGACATTTTCATATAATTACAGGGGCAGCAGTAACTACAAGCACAATCACAAACTCAAAGAAGTTTAAGCGAACAGAACCTGTGCACTTGATGGTGTCAAGTCGAAGAGGGTTTCAGGAGCATCCACCACTTGCCATTGAACAGAAAATCTGCAACTTTTTCTAGATGAGCCTCGTGAGCAGAGGCTTGAGATATGGCCCACGGCAAGGTGTAGGTGCCGACCTACCACATAGATCCTGTTATCGCAGCAGTGGACACAGAAAGGCTTGCATATTTGCTCTGGCAAAGGAGGTCCTTCAACAGTACACCAAGAATCAGTTTCAGAGTCATAAACCTTCACTTTTGTTCTTTCATGCTCTGTAACCACAAACAGATGCCCATAAATCACAACACTCGAACCAGTCCAGCCTTCTCGCAGTCCAGTAGCCATATTCTCCCAATTATCTGTTGCCGGGTCATAAACCTGTCCCCTGGGTACAACATAGAAGGGCCAAAACCAACCTTCTGTCACAAGAAGCTTCCCATTAAGAACTGCTGCATCATATGAGGCCATGTTTGTTCCCATGTTTGCAACCGACCGCCAGGTTCCTTTATTAGGATCAAGGACTTCAGATGAGTTAAGCTCGAACATATCAGTGCTGTTTCCACCAGCCACATATACCAGCCCATCAATTATCCCACTTGCAAAAAATGACCGTGCAGTGATCATCTTTGACATGACGGTCCATCGGTTCCTACACACTTCATATTTCAATACCAAATTGAGGGGGCAATCCACATCAGAGGCCACACCACCACAAACAAAGAGAACACCTTGATGAGGGATGGCTGTGCACCTGAATCCCTGGGGGCATACCTTATCCTTGCAAGGCATAGCTGGAATTGTGTGCCAAGAGAATTGGGTAAGGTCTAGAACCTTCCACTCTATTTTTCCAGTACATTTGTGGTGTGCAAAGACAAAAAGCCACTGATCATGGAAACCAAGCTCCTTTCTCCTTGTGAAAAAATGCTCCTTGCTGCCAAACAATGAATACCAACGCTTGCAGACAGCCTTGCAGGTTGCATGTTTATCAACTGGAACTCGGAGGAGGCATTGCAAAGCAACATCATCAGGAAGGCCTGGAATCAATGGCTCTCCCCTAAAAGATAGTTCTAATTCTATTGAAGGATCTAACAAAGAGGACTGGGTTGCAGCTAATCTAAATTTCGGAGATAATGTCATTTGGGAATCCCCTAGCTTGTGCACTGGAGCTTGGTACGATGAAACACGCACTCTTTGCATCTTTCTCTATGCTAAATGTAAATATCCAAAAAACTGAACAAGCTCTTTTCTTCCAGTGCAATTTCATCAAATCAGGAGATGTCTACGAGGAGAAACAATAACAAGCCCAAATCTAATCACTTCACTAATAATTCATCAGAATCCACACAACTTCTTATTAATTGAATCAAAGTTTCTGCAAATCACAAAATCAATTGCCTCAAATTCCTTACCCCAAATTCTCTATCTTCTTACAATATCTGATACTAAATATAACAAACCCACATCTGAAATTCCAAAATTCAACCTAATATTAATAAAAAAATCACATTTGCGACCCTTTCTATCTCTTGAACTTAGAGCCACTTCTTTTTATCCCCACTTCCAGACTTCAGCGGACAAACTTTATGCAGCTGAAAAGAAAAAGCACAAAGCACCACAGAAAAATGACAAACGTGGGAATAGCTCAGTTCTGCATTCATTTCAAACAAATAACCCCATATACTTAAAGACCAAGAAACCCAAATCCACAGAATCATAGACATGTAGCATATCTTTCATTTTCACACTATTTATTATTCAAGAAAACGGCACACAAAGGCCAAAAAAAGAAACCCAGTAATTAAGATATCAAAATAATATAAAAACAAGAATAAATCCAATATGAAAGCAACTTTCGGCTAATTTAAGAAGAACAAAGAAAAAGAAAGGAACTTACAGATTATAAAACTGAGGAAAGTTTGATCGAAACAGTGACTTTAGCAGATTTTCCGCGAAGGAATGATTGACCAACAATATTATTTAATTAATTGGAATCAAGATTAGCTGGTTCTCGTTGTATTTAGCTAAAAATTTTGTGGCTTTTTCTGGGTTTTTCTTTTGGACGGAACCACATGTTTCATTTCGTCAACAAATAGGCGATAGCAAATCGTCCTGTCAAAATATTGTACTATTGCGGTAAAACACGAAGGAAACGTACGCGCGAATTTAGCGCGTATTAAATACAGTCATGAATTTATTCAATTAGACCTTGTTTGCAACATTATATCTCATTACATTACATTAGATT